GGAAGCTAAGCAGCAGAGATACATGTACAAGCCAGATTCATTAGCAACAGTACTTTTCAGCTCCTTTAAATGAGCTTGAGTTGCAGCCAGTAGTTGTACTCTGTTCTGACGTTTATTGCTGGGAAGGATACACAGTATTGCTGTACAAGGATTAGAATCACAGACTGGTTTGGGTTGGAAGGGACCTTAAAAGATCATCCAGTCCCACTCCCTGCCATGGGCAGGGACACCTTGCACTAGACCAAGTTGCTCCAAGCCTCATCCAGCCTGGCCTTGGACACTCCCAGGGATGGGGCATCCACAGCTTCTCTGGGAACCTGTCCCAGTGCTTCCCCACCCGCTCTGGGAAGAACTTCTTCCTGATATCCAATCTATACCTCCCCACTTTCAATTTAAACCCGTTACCCCTTGTCTGGTCACTACAGGCCCTTGTAAAAAGTCCCCCCCAGCTTCCTTGTAGCCCCTTCAGGCACTGGAAGGTGCAATAAGGTCTCCCTGGAGCCTTCTCTTCTCCAGGCTGAACAAGCCCAACTCTCTCAGCTTTCTTCAACCTTCCTTTTCTGGTTGACATACATACAGAACCCCTTCCTGTTACTTTTTTCATCCCTTGCCAAGATCAGCCCCAGCTGGCCTTGGCCTTCCTGACTCCATCCCTACACAACTTGGCAGTGTCCCTATACTCTTCTCAGGATACCTGTCCCTGCTCCTACTGCCTGTGCATCTCCTTCTTGCCCTTTAGTTTGATCAAGCAGGTCTCAACTCATCCATGCCAGTCTCTTCCCTTCCTTTCCTGACTTCTTACACGCAGGGGTCAAGTGCTCTTGCGCTCCATGGAAAGCATCCTTAAAGCTCTGCCAGCTCTGTTTTGCTCCCTTGCCCCGAGGGCAGTTTCCCAGTGGGTCCTATTGATTAACTCATTGTAGAGCTGAAAGTTTGCTCTCCTAAACTTCAGGGTCCTCACTTTACTCTTTACCTGACCCATATCCCTCAGGACTGCAAATTCCACCCGTGTGCAATCGCTGCAGCCCAAGCTGCCTCTCATCTTGGCATCACCATTTACCTCACTGGCACTGGTGACAGCAGGTCCATTACTGTGTCCCCTCAGGTAAGACTGTTACCTGGCTTAAGAGTCATTCTCCATGTGCTCCAGGAGCCTCCTGGATCACCCATAGCTCATCGGACTACTTTTCCAGCAGATGTTGGAGTGGTTGGAGTTCCCAAGCAGGATGAGAGCCTGGAGCATGATGGTTTCGACAGAAGGGTTGGCCAATGGGATCCCCGTCACTGGGCAGGCTGCAGTGGGCACCAGCCAGAGGCTTCCCTTTGCTGCCTCAGTCTCCGACTCTTATCCGTAAGCTTTCAACCTGCTTGTGCCTATTCTTCTGACACAGGTCTCCACACTCCAGCTGTTTCTTGATGTAGAGGGCAACCTCTGCCTCTCCTTCCTCATCTGTCTCTTCTGAACAGCCAGTAGCCCTCAACAGCTGCACTCCTCATGGGATTCATCCCAAGTTTCAGTAACACCAACCAGGTCATAGCCTTCTAGCAGCACAGTGGCTTCCCACTCCTGTTGGTTGCCCGTGCTGCACACATTGGTGCAGAGGCCCTTCAGCTGGGCTGTCGGCCAGGTCACCTTTGAGGGGTTTCCCTGTTGGCCCCCATTGTCTCAGGAGCCCCACCTCATGTCCGTAAGGCTCCCAGTGCGCTCCAGTGTACCCAGCATGCCTCAGAGCAACAGGCCGAGGGCCCTCTCTATCACCCATCCCTCTAATGACATGACATGTCACAGCCTGTCGTGGACAAGCCCGATATTAACCCCCATTGCCTTCAAACCTAAAGCTCTGCCAATGACCCCACTAGCTTGTAAGCCAAGACCCTCTTCCCCCTTTGGGAAGGGTGAATCTGATCCGATAGCACCGAGCCTGCTGCCATCAGGCCAAAACCCCTAACTGTGGTGGCGACACCACCCACGGGGCCACGTGGCGACAGACCAGGCAGGCGTTTAGCACCCAGCTCGGCATACCAACGACCTTACGGAAACATCAACTCCCTGCTGCCGCAATCAAGCTGCTTTTGGAGTTCAGTGACGTTGTGGTAAAGCTGCGAATGCCTGGTTTCGAGGGAGATGGATTAAGCAGAAGTACAGTTATATACACATTTCACACCAACTCTGGCCTGTGCTGCAACTTCAAGACAGTGCAGTGACTCCACTGGAAGTCGCGTTACAGAGTAAAATGTGGGGGCAAGAGAACACGCATTCCGGTATAAGGTAACTGCAGCTGTCTACATACCTGGAATAATAATTCCCAGTCCACAGTCAAGCAGGAATTTGGTAACTGTGTAGAGCCTATATAAACTATCCTATTCCATTGCTGTTCTTTATCTGAAGCTCAATACCCATTAATACACAGTTAATTCCCATTAACTGTGCCACTTCACAGAAGGGACTCGCAGACCTGGGAAACGCAGTCACCCAAGTGTGATCGCACGGTATGTGGTTCCGACAGCAGGGTGCTTCCAGACGTCACACAGGCACTGTTATTTCAGGAAAGCGTTTCTGAGAGAAGCTGTTATGCAACAGCGTAATGCCAGAAAAACACATGTTACATTGTGCTGTGTTTCCCCCAATTTCAGGCAGTGCTTGAGTGTTTCTAACTGGTTAACTTGGCATTGCTATGCATCATCTCTTCCATCCCATCAATTATTAAAAGAGACCTGATCGACTTCCGTTGCTTAACACGTAAAAATGCCACAGAGGAAACAGAACAGTAACCCAGCTCATTCTGTTCCATTTCCTTCTTGGGCTACACAACCTGATCAGATTTGAAGTATTAAAAAGACATTATAGCTGGGTCAGAGATACTCTGACCTCTTGTAAGCTAGAAGGAATACATTATTCTGACAAAATACTTGTACATGGTGCAAGGAAACTCAGTCAGATGTTTTAAGTTACCCAAACTGATTTATTGACAATTTAAATGTGACATATTTACAGCACTGTTTCTAAAATAATTTAACAATTTTCATAGATTTATAAAAGTACTGATAAATAGGAGACCCTGACAATTACCAACCACAAATATTTCCCTATGCTACTGAACTACAACTGTAGTTCTGTTCTTTTCTCTTTTTCTCCTCTTTTTCAAAGTCCCATAATGGAGCTGCTTTACCTCCACCCGATGTGTAAAATTGCCAATACCAAAAAGATAAAATGACCATGCAGTGTGAAAGCTGTACCAGAGAAGTGATTTCAGATGTTAGACTACAGTAAAAACATTTTGATGCAAAGTGTCTTCCACACAGAATGCACTTGTGAAAAAAATAAGCTTTAAAAGAGCTATTGTTTTATCTTTGTAGAAGTTAAAACCTACAACACTAGTTCAGACATTTACAGTGAACTTCCAATTCTGTGCTAGTTTTCACATATCTGAAGAGTCAAACAAACCCAGTAATTTACAAACACCACTGCCTGAAGACGGTGGTTGGTTAGCTTATAGATGAAAAAAAAAGGTGCTGATGTAATTTAAGGTTTTGAAATTCAATAATATTTCATTCTTATGACACCAATTATTCTATCCTTGGATCAACAAATTATTGTGGTAAAGCCATCCGTATCTCTCAAGCCGGAAGAGAGTTTGGAAGTTGGACAGAAGATGGACTTGTACGATATGTATCTTAGGTTACAGCAGAGTGTCGCAAGGCTGGACAACCTGAATCGCAGTAAGCAGCAGCATGAGATATTTGTGGGGTTTTGATTAAAGCAAACGTTCAAAAGTTTTTGAGTACACAAAAGAGTACACACTCAGTCTAATCCAATACTTGAAATGTAAAGGTTCTTTTCATTTGCATCACTGACGCCGTGTAACAGTGTACACAAACAACAAATACTCAATTTCTTTAAAACACATATATTGCACAGCTAGTAGGTGCAATACCAGAACACTGGTACCCCCAGCAGAAGTTCTCTCTGTTAAATAGCCGTTTCAAACTACGCTACTCCGAGCAACTCCAAGCCAACGTTCAAAACCATTAAGAATGGTTTGTGTACATAACTAATCCAAAAAGTGTTTCAACAAACACGAGGAAAGACACAGGCACTTACAGATTATTAGTGCACCAAAAGTCATAGGCCACAATTGCATGACTGAACAGTTCGGTACCAGTAACGACAAAACTAAACGAGGTCTTCCACTGATCAAAGACGGAAACAAGAACCATTCACAAAGCACTGACAAGAAAACCCTTCTCAAAGCAGTCCGTGAACGATACGTTTAGACATTTAAAAAACCCTAATTGCTGCAAAGCCTAATGTGACACAATATAAACCCTACTTCGTTCAAAAGATCTAAAGTGTCCAAATTCCGGAGTCCAATTTCTCCTCTCCCCCCTCCCTAACGCCATTACATGCAGTCCATGAAAACCCAAGTGTGCAAAAAGTTACAACCCACCTTTAGGAGTGCATCAAAAATAGGCTGACTAGTCAAAATATTATTTTAGTGGAACTTTTACAGCACCATAATTAGAATCCCAAGGGAGTTCGGAATTCTCATTGCGGTAACAAATCGGTTGACGCTGTTGATCCTAAAGAACAGAAGAAACGTTTTGTGCATTTCCTGGTATCTGAAAGTTATGGAGAGCAACAATTCTTCTATGCCTAAAGTCTCACTGCAGGCCAAAAGGAAGTTAAGAAATCACATTTGTTGGCAATATGTTCTCCACAACAGAGCATTAGGTGTAAATTTAGTAAATTTGCCAGATTAGGAATGAAAAGTTGCTGGTACCTTCCTTAGAGTAAAAAGTACTTTGTTTTTGTCTTTTTTTTTTTCTCCATTCTAAATTGTGCAGTTTGGCCCCTCCCTAGTAAGTGATTTACTATCAGGCTTTGACAAAATGCCTAAGGTCCGTTTCTGACCCTCAGCTGAAAGGCAATATACAAACACATGATATATACACGTGTGCACAGAAACACACACACATATATAAATCAGTGTTCTTTCTTTATTTCCTATCATTTTCTTTGGTTAAAAGTCCGAGCAAGGAAATTAGAGGACCGAACAAATGGATCATTCTCCAAACACTTCCATCACTACACATGACTAACTGGAAGGCTTGCGTCATCCAGATCCACAAGGCCAGGATCCTGTTCCTGAGTGCCATTTTTACTCTGGGGTTCCAAGAGGCCCCGTGCAGTCACTTTGGAAGCTGATTCTCTTGAAGAGACAACCTGGATCTTGTAGCTCCCTGGCTTGGTCTTGGTAAAAGATTCGTGAAATCCTCGCTTCTCCAAGGCAGGGTATTTGGCGTGAGGGTTTGGGACCAGAGGGCTGCCGTGAGCGGCTGTGGAATGTGAGGTGGCTGGGGCTGGGATGGCAGAACGGAGAGCATGGTTGGGTTCGGAATAAGACTCGGTATACTCCTGGAAAAGAAGTGCACGCGTCAGATGAAGTCATTGCTGTCACGTTGGAAAGAAGCGGTTTCAGATTTTACGCTCAGAAAAAACAATCAAGACAGAAAATACATAAAGCGAAGCATCAGCCACAGCAGCAGGAGGTGGGCGCTTTCTCCAGGCAGCGTGTAGTTAAATGTGAGCTTACAGCAGTATGTGACAGCAACATCAGTTTCTTCATTTGATGAAATTACACTTCTCAAATCAAGCTCAGCAGCTCTTGAGACTTTATAATATAGTCCAGCAAATTGAGGCTTCTTGTTTTACTAAGATGCTCAGTAACCTTTTGAAGAAGCACACTTTAAAGGCCATTGAAAGTGGCATCTTTCCAAGAGGAAAAAGTATTCAAACATATTCATATACATCAGGCACTCAGATCCTAAATCCTGAAGTAATGCACATTTTTACAGTTACCAGTCTTCTTGGGTTACCAGTCTCCCCAGTTCACTCCAGGGACCAAACAAAAAAAACTTAACTAGTTTATGCTATCAATAAGGTATAACAATTTCCAAAGTTAATGGACCTATAAAAGAAACTGATATTTAAGCTATTCCTTCTAATTGCCAAGTTATTTTCCTGTGTTTGTGACTGTTCACTGCCATCCTGTTGGCCTTTGTGTAACTCAGGCTGATATTGTGAAAGTGATCTTCCACCATTTACTTACTGATAGAAACAAGTTCTCAGACAATGTAGGAATGACTCAAGTGTCTAAAGCACAGGCACAGAGTGCAGTTTTAGATGGTCTAGGGTATCCTACCTGACCTACAGCAGCATCCCCAGACCAAAAAATTACTCAGATTCTGCACTGTATCCATTGGTTTGGAACGGTGTCTCAAATACCCAGTGCTATCTAAACCAGCCTGGATACAGTGTTAAGTGACATGATCAAAATGAGGGGCGACGATGCAGTGAGTACTTCCCTCTGCACACATTAGGAGCTGCCGCCACTTCTGCCGTCACCAGAGTCAGCACATCAATAAAAGGAACCTGCCAGCCCGTGTGTGCACACCAATCGAGTCACTTGTCAAGCATTTGTCAGGAAAAAACCATCATAGATGTGTGTCCAAGACACAAATGCACATCCTAAATGAAACACTTGTTTTTTCATAGCAGTTTTCCAAGCTTCTTTTAGAATGCTATGAGCTAAACTCATAATTTTAATCTTAACAGACTCTGCCAAGTACCACTGTATTTCTATTTATAAATTAACTAATTATTGGCTGAAGGAGCTGGGCAACTTTTTTTAGACTTCAGTTTTGTGCTGCCTTTCAGTGAAGTACTGCACATGATTTACACTGCCTTATTTCATACCTGACTCGATACTCCACTTTAAGAAAAACATTTGCTGGAGGAGAATATGATTCTGTGAGTCACCTGCTCTTCTGTTCCTATTAATAATTTTAGTTCAAAAGTAAGGACTACTAGGACACGGTCTCTATAATAAACTTTTTTCTAAATTGAACTGAAGGATACTCAGATTTTACTACCCACACTGACTGTAACTTCACAGTTAAGAGACTGCTGCTGTATTACTCCTAAGGTGCACTGCTTTGAACAGTGTACTGACTACACATTACAATGCTTCTACGTTTGAACTAATAATTTCATGCAGAGACTTATAAGCCATGCAGATCAGGCTACAGTATTATCCCTCCAATTACTAGAGCTGCAATGTGCATTTTTTGTGTGCACGCACCTGTATTAGTTTGTGGGTAGCTTATATTTAATTTCGCTTTTGCGCAGTTTCAAAAAAATGTAAAGTAAAATGGAAATATGAACTCTCATGCAAATTAGTTTTAATACTCTCCTGTTAAAATGACATCACGTAACTTAGGTTTAAACATATGCTTTATAGGATAAATATACGTTTTTGCCATTTTTAATTTCCAATTATTTTAAAAGTTAGAAAAAACAGTGCAAACCTGTAAGTGAATGATACAATTTATGAGTTAGTTCTCAGTAATGGTAATGACAACAGGTAGCATCATTTTTAGTTTTTGTAGTGCAAATTAGTCTCTAGTCCTAGCCCTCTGTTAAGAAGGCAAGTTTACATGAGAGCCCACATACGTGCTGCATTCACCAGTTCTTGATGTATACCTCTGTATACAAGGATTCGACAGCCTTCTGGCCTGCCGCATCTGGAACACAGTGCAAAGCTAAGATTAGAGTAACCTATACTTGGGGAAAGAAGAGAGGGAAACAGAAAGAAGTGATGCAGACGGTAACAGCTAGATTGCTCAGTTAGCCCCACAAAAATAAAAGCATACACAAAGAAAAGCTATCTGCATATTTTCATTCCCCCAAAAAGAAACAAGATTTCTGATAGGAAGCTTGAAATAAAGACATGAAGCAGCTCCCAGCTGCAAAAACTGAGAGCTTAGACTGAATTAACAGAAACACAATATCAGTGCAAATGTGTAGGCAAAAGCCAGATTTAAGTTACCAGATTTCAGGTTATGGGGGTAATGATATATTCAGCTTATTACTAAACATCCCATAGCCAGAAAGTGAAAACCATAGCTTGCAACATCCGAACTGTAAAGTAGTCCATTTGTTAAATCTGGACATACTGGGAGACAGTGTGACACTCTGGTAACTACAGTAACACAAGTTAATGTAGTTTGTACTCAACAGCTGACACAGTTTAAGTGCAAGGATGTACGAAGTGCTGGCACCCACATGGCTTCACAAATACTAAGGTTTATCACAGTGCCTCGGTTCAGTTGTGCTAGATGGTCTTCACCCTACGTTTTCAACAGCCACAGCTAATTCATGTGAGCAGAGACTGCTTCGAGAAGTTACTGCCAGTTTGAATCTGTATCTGCATATACAATAAAGTATCAGAGAGGGATGATTTAGCAGTGCTAGTTAAATTTCTTAAAATCAAATTAGAATGTTGTCATTTGACTGCAAAATTCAGCCATTAACAGAAACACCTCGCAGGAATTAGAAGTCTGTTTCACTTTTACTTCCAAACTATTAGTAGTGACAAAGACCACACCAAATACTTTTTCTAGGTTAGCACTTGCATTATCTACATATTCAAGACAACACAGTGCACATAAAGTTACATACAGGTAAGACTAAGCTAAGTGCTCAATTAAAAGCACATTTTATGCCAGTCTGAATGAAAGTTCATGCAAAGATGCCACATTACTATAGGACAGGACAGGCAAAAGGAAAAAGCAACTAGAAATTCACGTGCAGAAGTGAACATCAACTGATCACATTTTCTGAGGTTCAGAGTAACATACGGAAGCTGCTGTTCTTCCAGGTCCCCGCTGTGCTACAATGGCCCCAGAAATTGCTTTTATCCAACTGTGCATGTCTTCCGGACTGTCCGCCTGGATCAAACAATATGTTATGTTTAACATAATCAACTCGGCTCTCGCAGTGTCCTGACCATCTGCATTAAAATGCTGGCCTTATCCTACTTTAGCAGCCTGTTAAAGCCACAGGCACTTCCATTTCTTAACCTGGACATTTCTTAATCTCTGACCCTGAATTTACTATTATATATATGTAATTATATTAAATAATAAGCAAGAAATAAGTATTTTTATACTATTTGCATACTCTAGACTCAACCTTTTACTTTCAGCAAACAAACTATTAAAGCACCCACAGAAATTCTTACAGGAGATCCACTGACCCCTCTTAGCACACTTTAGCCAACATCACCTCTGTACCTTTCAGCCACTGTTGCACTTCAGTTCTATTATGTATTTACTGAAGAGTTACAGTTAAATAAAAACCGATGTCTGTCAAAGGTCAGCTATACGTTTACTTAGAAGAACAATCCAAAGATGCAAAAGTGGTGAATACCAAGGGTGTACATATCTGGGGTAAAGACAGATAAAAAGCTAAAGCTATCTCCTACTTAGGTTGAGCCTTTATTAAACCAGCACATCCACCCAGCCAGGAACATCTGCAACATGTCACTGAAGCACACTCAGCTATGGGTTAGCTCATAGCTCAGCACCTGGCACCTCTGCCTGTATCAGACTATACCAGCCTTTCTGAGCCTAGAAGAGAAACTCAGGTTTCCAGGACTGCAAGCATCACATTTCCACACAGCCTGGAAAAGCAAGCCTTTGTGATCTGTATCATGTCCAAACATTTAGAAGGTGAAATAGTAAGGAACTATTGAATAAAATATATGTGGATACACGTCACCAAATGGGCACCGAAATCTAAAATATCTACTAAACACAGCAACATCTGATGGGGCAACTTGAACCTGAGAACTCAATTTCTGGACATAAAAATTCAGTACTTCAAAATAAGAGATTTAACACAGTGAGTTGATCCTACAGAACCTGAAGACCCGAACGCCAACAAAATAACATTAGGATTTATTCTTAATTATTTCACACAACCAGCGTAACAGCAAGTTATGTGAGACAGTGCTTACGTGCATCTTTCTGACATCTACTGAAGATCACGGCATAATTAAACACAACTTTAAAAGTAAAACAGCAGTGCTTCTTTGCTTTGACTATGGTAGTCTCCTGGCTTTGCCCAAAGTTTAACAAAAGAAATTACCTGTACATAAAAGGTTCGAGAAGTCGTTACAATTTCAAAGAGATTGTCTCTCATCATTATATCACTGTAAATGAAACACAAAAACACTTCAATAGCAAGTACAACCTTCCCACTTTATTTTAAAGACTCTAGGATGTGCAGAGAATCAGAGCATGTGTTTTCTGAAGATCTCTGCATTTCTTGATCACTCTGCTATTGGGTTTTTTTGGTAAATACCAAGTGGAAAAAGAAAACAAGCATCTCGTACTCATTTTAGTCCTATGACTCTTCAGTTGACCAGTGGCATACATGCTACTACATGTATTTTTAAATTGGAGCATTCTCAACCATATGTTAAGTTTATAAAAATATTTAAATAGTTATCAGCATTCCTTTGTAGAATGCCATTTGGTGGGAGGGAAACAGCTGGAAGACGACTGCTCTCATTTCATTTCAGACATTTAATATAAGGTAATGTCCTCTAAAGGTTTAGGGAGTATGCAAGCAGAATAAAGACTCCTAAAATTGCTGCCTCTAATCAGAGAGCACCCAGGCATGTCTAACCCATGACTGCATGAAATTCCTTTGTTCCACCCTTGTCCAAAGCATTTACCTTCTACTAAGTATTACAAGTTTGAAACACACTAATGCAGAACATTCAAAACCAGTTTAATGCACAAAACTACCTGCTGGCCTACAAATAATGAGTATCACACGTGCATACATCAACCGAAGTTGAAGAGTTCTCCCTTGTTTCCAATGAGCAGCCTGGCCAGGACAAAGCAGCGTATTACAACCCATCTAATGGCATCAGTGCTTCTCTCCTCACCTTTGTTTGCATTCCTGGACTTTATGGACCTCCTTAAGTGGTATAACCCTGAGAGGTTCCTTTTCCTGGAAAAAAAAAAAAAAAGTCAGTAGAGTCTATAACAATTACAGTATAGTCAGAAAGCTAGGGGTCAGGAGAGCTGACAGTAGCAAACTTCAATGAGACTGTTACATAAGTGACTGCCTTAAAAGGTGGTGTCAACAAAAATTTAATTTGCCTAAGTATTAAACCAACCATGGCACTTGCAACAAAGAGGAGGCCAAATCAAGAAGTAAAAAAAAAAAAAACCACCCAAAACATCCATTCACTTTACCATAGTGGAGGTGACCACCTCTGTCCCCATCCTCTAACCACAGCAGCAAATAGAAGCTGGCCTCAAGCACCTTATTTCAGTAAAACTATGATTATATTCATTTGCTATGAAATGCTACAATGCAAGATGCTTTGATAACTGTATGACGTGGCTTTAAATAAGAGTAATTGTAACCTATACTCAGTACAAGAATACAAAGAAATCAATCTTACCAAAGCCTGTAGAAGAGCAAGTATTCTTAAAGTATGAAAATTCTGTTACAGTAACTAAAATAAGCATTACAGTTCTGTCAAAGTTTCACACAGCAGGAAAAATAGTGGGAACATTGAAACAGTAAAACTTTCACTTCTGTCTTTTTTCACATTACACTCCTAATGCGTTTTCTTCAAGCAGCGTCACAATGGATTACTTCAGTTGGCTTCAGCTTGGAGACAAACCAAAAGCTGTCAGCTCTGGAATGACAACTTTCTACAATTTTTATTGCATACACTTAAGAGATTTATGTTGTAATAGCAAACAGCAAATGCCACCCAATATAACCATCCTCAAAGGTCAGGTTTCATTAGATCACTTATCTCCATAGCAGATAAAATGTGTACACTTGAAAACCCAGTGTTTTCAGTTACTTTGCCCCTTCCCTTTCTCCCCTCTCTGGTCCTTCTAGGTTCACTCAGCCATTACAACAGAGTTTTTGAAATAATACATCAAATGTGACCTACAAGATCACCCCTGGAATACAAACGCCCCTTGCAGGGAAGGCCTAAGCTCAGAAATCATTATTGTCCGAGTTGGCTTGCTTGGAGAGCAGAGAACTCTGATATATTTCTACAGATGCAAAATGGCAGCATCTCAAAGATATCCAGTAAGTCATCTGAAGTACTGGGGAGCAGGCTGGCTGCCAAGGCAAACCAACCTCAACAAAAAGCCATACAAACAGGTGAAGTTTTCCAGAATTAGAAGCCTTATGCTACGCTAGCTGAACACGACCTCCATGCCATGGCCTTCTTAACCACAGAGGCACAACAGCAATTGCTACTGAACTTTTCATGTTACTCTCATCAGGAACAGTAGATTATTAGGGAAACTGGGATCCTACACATCACTGAAAGAAATCATTCACCACTTGCAATCTTCAGAAGAGAGCACCGTTTTTGCATCTGTAGGAGATAAGAGTCTGATGGACATACGGTTAAGTTGAAGGTGTTTTCTTCTTGGAGGGCTGTGCTCTGTGGAAGTTTTGCCTTTCCAGTACAGATTAAATGTCTCTCCAACATGTATGTCTCAGACAAGGCAGAGTCTCATTGTTTAAAAAAAACTGTATGCAACATAATTGACATGATTAGGTTTGCTAACCACGGAATTCTTTGATTAACCACTATAATCCAGTAAAAGGCCAATATATTCTCTATCTATTCAGTACTTACTTCCCTGAAGAGGGGTGACTCCCTTAAAATGGGAAAAAAAAATCCTGATTTCAGTAAGAACTGTGAAGCAGGATCTACTTCCCTGTAGTCTGACAGCTGGTCAGGCCAGTACCTTCCTCAGACTGGAGCAAGAGGATATTGGCCTGAAGGCTAGAGGAGACTAGAACATTTTATATTGTTCATTTCAAATAAACTGGAAAGAAACATGATGAAACCCCAAGTATACACATTCTTCAAGTTAGAATTTACTTGTGAGCACTCTACACTCAGAGTTTATTTTAAAATGAAAATACAGAGTTTATTATAGGCAATGTGTCAGAATTGTGTTACGCTGAAAGTTTAACAAAGACAGTGATGCAAGATCTAACTCCTGCTACTGTTGCATTCCCTCATTAAGAGTAAAGCAAAAGTCCTCTTCAAAAACAGCCTGAAGTTTGACTTTTTGACATTCTGCTGCTTACAGTTGGCCTGTAAACTCAGTTTTCCTTCATTTATAATGCTCTACAACTCAGGACTTCACTAAACATGAGAAATAAAGTGTGGGATTCCTTTTTGGGGAAAACAGACTATCTCCAGTACTGCTTCATTTTCAAATAAAGTCTGAAGGCACTTAACATTTGGTCAAAATTGGTCAAGAGGATCAAAAGCGATGAGTGGAGAAGAAAGATCATGAAAACAAAGGAAACTCTTAAGGGTTGCTTGTGAGCAGCACAGTTCTTAACCTGCCTTGGCTGCCCTGGTGAAAGGAGTGTGTGAGGGAAGATCCCACCATTTGTACATTAACACACCCCATAACCCTAATTTTAAATCAAGACGCCAAGATTACAGTTTTGTGTCTCCATACAATGACCACCTGATTGAAGAGCATAATTAATTACATGTGAGTACAAAGTGACATAAGATACTAATAGAAAAATCAGGGTGACTGTAGAATGTATCCTATCACTGTTCTTCAGTGCCCTACAGACAGGTTCCCAAACAGAAGACTGGAATCCAATTTAACAGCCACCCCAGTAAACTTTTGTTCTTCCTGATCATGACGAGTTATTACGGTACAGAGCCAAGAGCTGCAGGATCAGCACAGCACATTTTTCAAATACAAGCATATTTCTTTAGATTTTCTTGCAAGTATCACTGGCAAGTAACAGACATTTGGAAATTTACCAGTTCAGACTTGAAATATCCTATTGTGTTTTCATCTAGCTGAAAGTATCTTCTCTTCCAGTTCTTCATCTGTGAAAGGTAAATAAGTATTTTATACATAAAAACCAAATACACCTATGTGTTGTGTACTATGCATATGTTTATATACATAGTTATAGTTCTCGTATATATTCATAATATATGACACTGTATAATTCCTATTTATCAGGTACTTTATAATATTTATATATTACATAAACTTGTGTTGTATCTATATACTGCCCCCAAAATAGGTCTGCTAGACTCTGCCCAAGCCCCTTTTTTTCTGAAAAACTGCAAAAATTAAAGATTCTGGAAGCTATTATTTTTTCAATCTCCACTGAAACTGTAGCAGCTCTGCAGCACAAATACCCTGTAAAGTGTTATAAGACAGTAATTAAAAGTTTCTAGTTTATTTTTAACTAGAAAAAGGTATGTTACAAAAAGCAGCTTGATAGTCCAGATAAAGAGTCTGAGGACTCACAAATCACGCTATCTTGCTAAAAGAAGGGACAGTTCAGATTAAGCAAGGCATCATGTGAATAGCTCCACTTGTGTCGATCAGTGACAAGTGGTGAAATTCTTCCTCTGAAGTCAAAAATCAGTTTTTTCTAAGCATTTTAGTGATCTGAAAAGCATACAAGCATTAAAATTCTGCCTTAATTTAGATGTTTCTAGTAAGTGAAATAAGGATCTCTACATAACGGTAGCACAGATTTCCTAGCTGCATGCACTAACCATGATTTGAAAGCCTTTGTACACACCACCTTTCCTCTCCAAAGGATCTCCAACAACCTAACATGAAGTCATGAAAAGTAGTAACACAGATAAACTACATGCTACTGGAGGGTAAATTTTATCTTTAGCCATCCTTAATATTGTCAGTAGTGCTAAAGTTACTGGTAATTATGTCTTTTATTTTAACCATCTACTTCATAAGCAGAACTACCACCTTAGGACCTTTGCTCTCCATTAATGAAACAGACTGATCTCAAATACTTACCACTGCTCCTTGTTTTACACAGTAGCCAGCTTTGATAACAGCATTATCTGGGGGATGCTTAGCAGGAAAATAAGGAAGGTGACTTTGCGTCCGTTTCAAATAATTCCTATCACTCCCTTCACTGCACTCACTGATTTCTTCTTTCTAGAAAAAAGCAGGAAAGGTCAAAATACTCCTATTTTTTTCTAAGGGTCAAAGACTAACTATACTAGTTATTACAAGAAATAATTATATCATCCCATGCTCACAAATCTCATTTCCAATTTGTTTGAAAGGATAAAATATTTCAACTGATTTCTAGAGACAATTAGTGAGACTCTCCAAGGGCTGTGGCTGTGTACTTGAGAGCTCCATTTGGAAACTACACCAAGTAAGGACTGAACGTTCTCAGATATCGACAGACACTGAATGAAGAACATTACAGACCCAAACCCAAGATATATCTACGTCTTTAGTGCAAACCCATAGCACAACTAAGGGCAAAACACTAAAGGTGGCTACAGCAGAGAAAAAGCTATTTCTAGGACCTTAAGACATACCAGAATTCACCAAGTTTCTAAATGGAGTCCAGGTGTATGTGTCATTTACATGGTATTAATCCAATCTGTAACTATTTTCAGCACAGAGAACTTCCAGAAACAGATACAGGTCTCTTACACCACGCAGATTCCTCTTCCATGAGCTTGTCCAGTCTCTCAAACTCAGAAAGAAGTTTCCTGCCTACAGGCTGTATTTTGGCAAAGAGCACCCCATGTTTTATTACTCACTGAAACAAGAGCTCCTTCCCTTTGTTTCCCATGGTTACACCACCAGCTTAGTTTAAAAGCTCATAGCGGAAAGGAAAGTTTACACCATCCACTTCTGCCAATCGTGATTTTGAAGAGCTCTTACATCCTCTAGTCACTTCTTTTGCACATGGAAGAGCACTAGCCTACTCAGTAGTTCCTCATATGGAGATCATTCCTCATGGACCAATCACCCTTGAAGTCTCTCTAAACTTTTCCAGTCCTAGTTTTAGAGATGAGAACAAAACTGGACACAGCAGACAAGGTCTGGTCAAAAGACAGGATTTATACAGCAGAGATGTTTTCTGTTTTGCCCCTTAATCTTTTTTCTAAGAACACCTAATATTTGTGGGTTTTTTCCTCCATTGTTATGGAACAGTTTTGAGGTTCTCTCAGTACACCTGTAACTCTTAGCTCTCACACAAGTGGAAATGGTTATTTCACAGTGTAGTGTTTTCTATTAAAACTAAGATTGTTTTTCCCAGAATCCCTTACATCACATGTATTTTCACTGAATGGCATGTGTGAACACAGGATAAGCAAATGGCATTTCATAAGGCCCTTTTGCAACACTTAATCTACTGTCGTCCTACCTCTAATAACACAGTGTGTGTATTAACCAGCTGGTTTAATCACATCCTTTACCTACTTTTCCTAACAGTTAACACCAACACTTAATTTCACACAGAAAGATGTATTCAGCATACTGATATCTGCCATAAAAAAAAAAATCAATATTCAAGTAATTCCTTACAATCTTGTAGAATCCCCTGTAATCTTGTATGAAAGCAATAAAATGCTCAGAACAAAAACCCCAGTCAGCATCAGTGAAAGGTGCACATCAAAGCATCCGTCCTCTGATCAAGGTGAGAAGCCGACAGCTATATTGTGATACATAACCTATTCTCACCTGTCCAACAAAGCTTCCTCTCTCCAACAATGCCACACTTGTTTTAAGGGTATTACCTGGGTAGGTGTGATGATAGGAACACCGCCAACAATTTCTGTCCTGTAAGACACTTGCTTCTTTCCACCTGGGCTTTCAGCTTGACGATTTGCATTATCCATTTGACACAGAGGATCTGACTGCTTTGGTACCTGGAAATGGAATATGATAACTGACATAAAAAGTTGGATGAAGAACTAAAAAGAAAGCCCTAATCATTATCCAAGCAATTTTCATTTGTCTTCACCAGGATCTGACAAATGTTCTCTAATAGTAAAAGGCTAGAAATAGCTTACATGAAAATTTGTTGTAATGGTTACTCTTTAGTTCAGAAGAAAACTGGTGCCAATGAAGACATTTCACCAGGCATCTCAAAAACCTAAAAGTCAACTCTCAGCTTTGCCATAGGTGATCTTAAAGAAGCACTGCTAATTTGTGGAAGGACTGGTTAATTATTTTTCACTCTTTCAGTTCCAGTAATAAGCGCCTTAGAGTGGGGATGCCCCACTGCCTGTAGAGCTAGCACAGTAAGGTCAAAAACACGGGGCCACAGCATGGATACTTCTCCCCAACAGGATGCCTGCCCATTAGGACACTTGCACCCACATTCCAATACTTGGCATGAAGACTGCATGTACTGCCTCCACTAATCCTATATTTATTGCTAAATTCTGCCCAAAATGACCCTACCTACCTGTTGCTAGTGTTAACTATTAGACAAGTCTCTCAAATATGGAACTAAACCGAAACACCACAGCAGTTTAATTTTCCCAGCAAGTATCTTGATCCAAAACATTCAAACTTCTGAGGCTGTAGAAGTAAATATCTATAACCAAAAGAAATGCACTACCTAAGACATTTTCATTTATTATCTCCTTTCACCCCTAGTATTAATGTAGTAAACTTGAAGTGACTTCAACAGGGGATCAAGGGTCTCATACCAATACCCTAGCCAGCAACCTACTGGGTGTTTACACAGGACACACAAATTTCCTCACAAAGACGGGACACACAAATCATCTTTACACCGGGCATTACCAAGTAGGACTGTGGCACATTCAAAATTTGACATTGAACCGATCTAGACAAAAAACAAAGCTACCTTATAGTCTGCTGTGATTCTAGTTCCTATGCACAGCAATGCTTATTTAAAAAAAAAAAAACCCAAAACAAACCGGCCTGCAAGGAAGTACAAACAGTCCTGAGCACAAGTGTCAGTCTGGGACAGCTTCCTCCTGGCCAAGGTGGTGCTCAGCAGCTTGCTCAGCCGTGGCATCAGACTCATTCTCACTTCCACCATCTCCCTGACCATGCACAACACCCGGCTTCGCCAGCACAGGTAAAAGGTGACTCCATGCATAGCCAAGTCTGGTGCTGAAGGATAAGATGCTCTCCCAGTCCACACAGATCATGGGCTTCACCCTTTCAAGAGAAGGGGCTTGTAGCTACAGCTTTATGGTAAGTGCTTCAGCTCACACAAACTACTTAAAACACTACAGACCAAACCCACAGCCATCTTCTCCTAGAAATGCATTTTTCCATAGTGCTCATAAATAGGTACCCCACATGTTAGACTGGAAAGGTTGAGCATTTCTTTGAAATTATCAGCACTCAGAGTACTAAAAAAAATGCAACAAATCTTGGAGGATTATAGTCTACAGCAAGTAATGCTCACAGGAAAATTAATAATGGAATTATCCTGATTATGTGATTAAATCACTGGCCATACTAAACCACCCCTGAACAGATTCACAGTTCAAAGGCCTGTTCCTTCAAAGATAAAAAACACTAATGATTTCATCAGCTATTTAGAATGCAAGTTAAACAAATGGTAAACAGCTTTCTGACTAACTTCTAATTTGATGCAATTAATTCTTTGTTCACTCTATTTCTGGAACCAGAAGCAATTCAAGCCTGGTTGTGGTGTGTCCTGCTTATGAAAAACCCAAGTGAGGAGGCTGTTTGGAGCAGGTTTTTTCCATTTGTTTGTTTTTATTAGTAGTAGTAATGTTTGTGTAACTCCAGAGAAAGGGCTACAGTACAACAATGTAAACATCCTCAGATAAACCTAAACCTGAGAAAGTTCTTGACCACAAATATGAATGTGTACACCCATGCTCAGAACCCTTCTAAGGGTACGTTCTCAGAACAGTTCACGTCATCGCTTCCCTGAAACTGGAGAGAAAACAAAACCATAACTTCTGCCTCCAGCAAAGACTGAGGTAATATGTGGGGTTTTTCTATCATGTGATAACAAGCTGTCCTGGTACAAACCAGAAAAGTGATTTAGCACTTACCAGAAGAATGCATTAATGTTTCTTTGAATGGGTGTTACTGAAGTCAGGAAGAGCCTCTGGAACAAGGCATGATGCATTTGCTCATTATTTTAGTGATACTTTAAGAAACACAACTTTTGACACCAGGCAAACCTATGTGTATCTTTTCATCACTTGCAAGTGTCCTCTGGATATTTCAATTAATATTAAATGTGTATGGTTAGTTTTAAATTATTAGAAACCATCATAGGCTGGAATGAAAGACGACCACATTTTTGTCCGATTTCCAAAGCAAGAGGTAAAACAAGTTTACAAGGAGTTCTGTACAGTTTGTCCAAGGCTTGCAAAGCCAAGACTTATTTGTAGAGATAAAAAGGCTACTTTAGCATGAAAACCAGAGGCAAAGGTTACAAGTGAGCACCTTGAGACAGTCACCGTTTGAAAGCACTGCTAAATCTCAGTTAAACCACTTACTGTGATTTTGGTAGCTTTGTTCAGAACATTTACCCATTCGACTAGGTCCTGCTGATCATTGGCTTGTAGAAAGTATTTTCTCATCCCTGCATTCATAACTGTTAAAAAACATTTTGAAAAGTTAACAACAATGAAATTTAAGAGCATTTTATCAGAATTTTCCTACAGCTTCATTCCCCTAAGCAAAAAGTTTTATACTTGGTGACTTCTACAATTCCTCCTTTTAATCCTCCGACCAGTATCTGCTATCCTTTGCAACAAACTCATTAACATGACTATGATTTTTATCTTTAAGTCTGTGGAAAAATCGGTATTGATGACTAAGTAGATGATGCTCAGGACCAAACACTTTAAAATACCCAGAACACAACTATTTTGCTTTAGTGACTTGGCAGAGAAAGCATATTTTTAGTAAGTTGATATATCTACCTGGAAACACCTCACATAACTTCATCCAAAAAAGACAAACATTCTGTGTAACATCAAAGAAAAATAAATCACAGCTTAGCTTTCTCGCAAACTCTAAGAACTTAACCTGAAATTAGTTTTAAGGTGAACAGTGACCAAAGTGACCCAGAATTTTGAAGCATTGCAGCTAAAGTCTGAACAGATTTCACTGTTCTACCTATAACGTAACAGTTCTTCAGGGTCACCAGTAACAGCAAACACACATCAGAAACAGGTACTTCTTACTCTATCAGCTTTCTCCCAGAAATGGATGGTTTGAAGCAAACATTCTTAGATGCAAATATAAATTCAAAATACAGAACTGCATAATGAGTTGACTGAAACAACAACTGCCAGTATTTAAATAAAAAGACAATAATAAATGCATTGTTTTCCTCTAAAAAAAATATCAAAACCACTTCAATAAACCAGGAATATTAAAAGCTTTGAGCCAGCATCTTGGACTGTTAAGGCTTTTTAGAGCTGGCCTGCTGACAAGAGTAACTTTACAACTGATGAAGACAAACAGCTCTACACAGGCATGTGCAGAGGAATCTGTAGATGGCACTGAACTGCCGCACCAGGTACTAGTCTAGAATCTTCAAAGGCTTACACACAAGAGTGATGTACCAAGTGTTTCATCAGCTCCAACACAGACTGCACAAGCCCTGTGGAGCTGCCTTCTCTGGGCCTGCATATCACTGCACAAGGCAAAGGACACCTTCACTAATTGTCATAAATCCTTCAAGCATTTTCAGTACCTTCCTCTGAGGTAAAACTCTGACGTGAATACAGCCATAAAGAATGGTTATTCATAAACAGAGCAGAGGCTAATTCCAGTCTCTACACGTACTTTTGTAAATGCCCATTGCTTGTCAAAAAACTCTGGAATCATGGTAAATTTTGGACAAAGTACATAAGAAAATTCTAAAAAGATACCTTAAGGGGCTTTCATGATGGTCTAAAGCTTTACTCAAGTTTAATTATTAATAAACATACACAGTACCCCAAGCAAATTCTTTTCTTTGGTGCAGCAGAGGCTGAAACTTAATGTAAGAACATCGGCTGACAGTATTTTTAGATCAATTAAATCACCACTTCTATCAGTAATACAGATTAAAATAGTTAAATTACTTGTCTGCATAGCTGACAGGCATGGCATGTTTCTAAAAACACCCATCATTCTGGGTTATCTTATTAATGCCTCAATATTTCAAGTATCTGCAAAACAGCCCTCACCTACTCCTTGTTAAGCTGCAATATGAAAAGCCACCAAAACCATCTTAAGAAGCAGCCGAAATTCCCCTTGTACTGAAGGAGTGAATCCAAGCTATTTTTTAAAGAGAGACACTACCAGCCCTGTTTAGTAACACAACTGCAGAATATTCTTCAGAAATCTGAAGCAGAGATAATGCACATGCAATGATGCACATGCCACATGCAAGAACTTACCAAAACAGAATTCTGCCTTTGGCCTCAGCTTAGTTGCATCGCTAACCTAGTAGGGAAATTAAGATTATAAACATCACTGTGCATACAAAATATACATCAGATATCACAATCTTTCTTCTCTTTCAAGTGGCTAAATTTGAAGATTAGCAGCATAGCAAGCTTGTTAGGTATAAGGATATACAAATGTAACAAAAAATCCATTATAAAATTCAGCTCCAGATGTGCAACCTACACTAAGATGACAGCCTAAACCAAGTTTAAGGATTCGTTACCAGACAAACATTGAAATGCAAAAACTTAACACTTCCACTGCAATTTGAAGTTCTATATCCCAATTGAATCAAAAATTTGAGGACATTTCATATTGTCAAGGATGTAATTTTTGTTTTGGTTCATTAACATAAAAAGATTATGGACTCCTGAAGAATAGTGGCTATTAAAGTGTTGCAGTGTTGGGTAAGGAACAAGGGGTTGTCCTGTTCTGACAGGCACTGGAATCATGGAATCACAGAATGGTTTGTGTTGGAAGGGACCTTAGAGACCATCCAGTTCCAACCCCCCTGCCATGGGCAGGGACACCTTCCACTAGACCAGGTTGCTCAAAGCCTCATCCAGCCTGGCCTTGGACACTTCCAAGGATGGGGCATCCACAGCTTCTCTGGGCAACCTGTCCCAGTGCCTCCCCACCCTCTCCAGGAAGAACTTCTTCCTGATATCCAATCTAAACCTCCCCACTTTCAATTTAAACCCATTACCCCTTGTCCTGTCACTACAGACCCTTGTAAAAGTCCCCCCCAGCTTCCTTGTAGCCCCTTCAGGCACTGGAAGGCTGCAATAAGGTCTCCCCGGAGCCTTCTCTTCTCCACACTGAAGAAGCCTAATTCTCTCAGCCTTTATAGGAGAGGTGCTCCACAGAGCACTTCTATCAAGGATTGCCAAGGCAAAGCAGTCTCTTAGATCAAAACCTTTTGGTTTTGGCCTGAAACAAAACCCACATACTACATAACTAGAACTGTGGCAACTTAGACCAAGCCTCAGCACAGGAGGCACACTTGAGCTGCCTTCCAAGTGCACACAGGTGCCAAGGCACAGGTGACCAGCCCTGCTCCCATTAAAAGGGAGATACAAGACTTCAGGTTTCTTAAGATGACAACTGTGAGGTTTGAGGCAAAGCAAGCCCAGGAGGAAGAAACCAGGAAGGACATAAGCAGGTCTCCACAGGCATTTCCGTACTCATGATATAACCAGCAGTGATGCCTTTTACAAGGAATCAGAAACCAAAACAAGGAAGGTGGGAAGATGCAGTATGAGAAGAAAAGCAACACAAGAATGAGAAATGAGCAGAAAGATGAGAAAGTCAGTTGCTTTTTTCCACTTATTTGTTAATGCAGTATCTGCTACAAATTTAACCACAGAGACTTTAAGTTGTTTCCTTTCAGACACATCTGGAAGTGAGTGTATACATAAAAAAATGAATCAAGTATTTTCTAGAAATTTTTCTGTTCTATCGAGGATCATTATTATTTGCATAATATTACAGCCAAAGACTTATTTTGCACTTCATAAATGGCCTGTCTTTTCTCCAAGACTAATAGAAATTCAAAGAGTCAAAGAACTGAAACGTACAATTCAGAAATATTAATTCTATGCAGCACAAACAGCTGCTGTTTGAAATCACAAACCAAACCCAGACAACATGGTAATTAGTCTGTTCTTCCTTTAACCTGGTACACTACTGAAGTGTTTGTAACACCTCTCAAATTCAGAGGTAGCACACAAGTAAAAAGCTTCCCATGTGTTACATAAGAGGCATCTAAAACCACCTGAAGTTGAGGGCTGAAGAAGCGGCCCTTGGTATCTACCACCAAAAATTTAGCAAGAAGTATCTTACATATTATCTTACCTTTGAAATATAGGTGAGTTTAATGACTCCAACAGGTGGAGATCCAGAAGGAAGATTCTGAAACAAGTTAAAGAAAAACTAGCTTATTCTTATATCGTAGTGTTTACGCATAAAAAGAGAATAACTCAATTCCACAAACAAAGAAAATCCTACGTGTTTTTACAGACAATACACAATGTATGCTTGAAACAGGATCCAAACTACTTGTTTATTATATACACATCTGTTAACCAACTAAAAACAGAAAGACTGCTAGAAACAATACAAATAGTAATTGTTTCAGAGGTTTATGTATTTTACTAGAGGAAAAAGGATTCTTGCAGGTCTGCATCCAGGAAATCCGGAAAGAATACTTTTTCCTCAACAGATGTTGGCGTCTTATGCATTTTGACCAGGGCAGGCGGAAGAGACAAGAAGTGACATTCATCTATTATGTCAGATACTTCAAAGGCCATCTCACAGGTTTTCCAAAATGGATTGGAAAAAATCAGTCTTTCCATTTAATATTAAGGTTATTGCAGGGAAACACCATGACACTTCCTAAAGTTGCAGTAAAGCCTGAGTATATTTACATCCTGACAGGAGCTGTCCGTTGTTTATATATCCTTGCTTAGCACACTAATCAACATTTATGGTACCATTCACGATCAGCTAGCAGCCTGCAAACATAACAGTTACAGCACCAAGCCTCACAAACCATGGTTAACTTTATTAACTGTTCCTAATGAAAACAGTCTTCCTAATTTTGTTCTTTTCAGAGTGTGATTTTCTATTACAATTTTTACTTTCAAGATGGCCCTTTATGTTACAGTATCATTCTTCCCACTGCAGGCCTCCCTGGAGACTTTAAGAATGGTACAGAACCCGCTCGCTGATCTTTTCCCCAGCTAAAGTGCTCTCCATTATTCCACAGTGTCTTATGACCTTTTACATGGCAAAGAGGAGCCTAATGCTACCCAGAGTCAGAGACAGACAAATAATTGGTTTATATTCCATTCATATTTCAAAGCTAAGTAGTAAGTTAGGTGTGCTACAGACTGGTAGCACTGAAATTTAATAGAAAAAAGGCTTCCCACTGTGCCCAAATAAAGTTATCTTTTACTTTATCAGAATGTTTTTGATGCCAGCACACACCAGTTTTACAGTCTTTATATTACAATAATAATGCGTGGTTAATGGTGGGCTTAAAAACATTATTTCTTTGAGCACCTGAACTGATTTTCAGATCCAAATAGAGCACTTCTGTCAGCAACAAAAGGCCCAGTGAATTTCTGCAGACACTATCGACTCATCCTATACGAAGAATTTCATCACTTCGAGGATTAAGGATGGCCTCCACACAGCAGATCTACAGAAACTCTGTTCTTCAAAACTAACACAGTGGAAGAAAATTGAGAAGCTTCAACTCGCCTCTTGCAAGGTACCCTTTCCTTTGTCTGTAAATGGTAACATTAAAGAAAGCCTAAACTAAAAACTCTGTGTGCACTGCAAATATGATTAGTCTTAAAATTTCTGAAGAGCTGCAATTTCTACAGCACGCCAAGTTTTTGCACACATGCCCTGGTTATGTCACGGGAGAAAGTGAAAAAAATAATAGCTTCGTATCACTTGCTGACACCAAACGTTTGATGTCTCTTATTTCTAGAAATTCTCTTTTTTCTCCTCAGCAAGAACTGCTAAATGCTTCAGTCACAAGTCACATTCATCACGCTGCACATTATTTAAATGTTTTTTTCCATTGGTTCCTTTGAACAGTAGACTTGGCCGAGCTGGGTTAATAGTTGGACTCTATGACCTTAAAGGTGTTTTCCAACCAAAATGATTCCATGTTTTTAACCTGATCTTCCTGGCAGAATGCTTCACAACTATTCTTCTGGCAGACAGTTGTCAGCTGACCTAGGTCCTAGGCTTTCGCTGTCTCTGTACCCAAACCCTAAGCCATTATGTGTCCTCCCCTATGCTAGGGAACACATCAGTGCCTGCACATTGTAAAAGTACCTTTTATATAAAAGACACTGTCGGTCAGGATGGATACAAGCTTTCCTCATTCATATACTATTCATGCTGTGTTGAAATGGCAAGCATCATTAGAAAATGCTTTTCGATGACTGATTCTTTTGAGGTGAAGTAATATGAAACTGCTGACACATGCAATCCAAGGAAAACTACGTACTTCCACATAAGGTTAGAGGTGAATTCAAAGACCTGTGCAGTGAAACTCGTGTGATTCTGCTCATCTGGTTGTATCATACAGCACTACCCAGTGCCTGCGAGAACATGTAACGCACTCAAGACACTTATTAGAAAATAAATATAGCACATCATGATTCAAAATTAACAGATATATACATGGGATCAAATTCAGATTCCCATCTGATCTCTAAATCTCCTGTCAATACTTAGATTCCATATGTTGGCAATTCACTGATGTTCAAGCTGTTCTTCATGTTTTACTGTTAAGTGCAATTTTAACCTTTTAAATAGAAGCATAAACTACACTTTCTCTTTAAAAGATTGCACATATTAGCAAAGATGAAACACTAATTTACATTTATTTCACTTGTGTAACTTTTTTCCCCTAGCTTCCAGGTCCATAAGCTAATATAAAGCAAATTTGTAAAAATACCCAAAAAAGTGGAAATTGATACAAGCCAGTAAACTATGACCACAAACATCTCACCTGTGGGTTATCCATGTACCACACCAGACTGTCTTCTCGTGTGTCCAGAATGAAGTACCGCCGCAGAAATTTCCCACTATTCTCATTTTCTTCAATATCTAGGAAACCACAAATGCGATTCTGACGATCCACATAAGGCATTTCTGACTCCAAACATCACACTGCAGAACAAAAAGCACAGAAGTTAAAATTAGTAACAAGGAACTTTGCTTAAGACTGTTCTGTGCCTACCCATGACATTTTCAGCAATTTCAACCAGTGGCTTGAAAAGGTTTCTACTGAAGAGTAAGTGAAGCGTAGCTTTCCCCCCCCCCTCACCACTACTGAATTTTTAGATAGGTTTTTCTTACTTCTTTGAAGCATACTTGGGATAGATAATACCCTAACTGCAAAGATACAAGTGGTAGATAGATGCGCATCAACTAGCTTTTACAAGGTCACTGAAGAATAATCAAAGATTCTCCTTCACGACTTGCACAAAGTTGAGATAATGTTAGGTTTACACTTCCTTCTTTGACATTGCCTTTCATGGTCAAAAAAGGATCTTTGTCAGAAGCTCTACTGCCCAACATGATTTTTCATATTTTGCTTAAGCAAATTCAACAAAAAGGCTTTTGGAAACATTGTTTGCATTTTTATTTTCTCCTACAAAAAGACCTTCACACCTAACAATGTCTAAGAACAGATGTCTTTTCACCCTTATACGTTCAACAGCCAACACTAAGTTGTATGTGCAGCAGAGATGTGAATAAACTTGCCAGTCCAAAACTGAAATCCTGAATATCCACACGGTACTAAGTTTGAGGGTGGTATGCTTTTTTGTTGTTTTTCTTTTTGTTGTTTTTTTTCCCCTCCTTTGTTTTTCTTTAAAAAAAAAATCTGTAGTGCTGACCACCTATTCCCACTTTGCATGCTTCACCTTTTATGGCTCTGTCTTACTGCAGTCTATTGCATAATATTTTTTTTGCTTCCTTTTATTTTATGGAACAGTCATTTTCGCCTTATGAGCCAGCCTTGTAAGACCAGAGATAAATTTGCATACTTATCTAAAAATGGCAATAAACCAACATTTAAATATGATAAAAAAATCAGGTCAATGACAGATTTCCCAGACAGTGAAAGAAACAACGCAGTCTTTACATTTTGTTACAGAAGTCAGAAAAAGTACATATCCAAAAACATTACTATTGAGACATAGTTCAGACTTCTTCCAGCTTTCACTGTGTAATGGGGAAGTTTTTTTAGTATTTCTTGAAATAGTTTACCCTTACTAATTCCTTGCTTAAATTTAATATTTAACTATAGTTATATACACAGAATGAGGCAGACACCTGGTAACTAACTGTAGCTAGCTATTGATCCAGCACAGTAAAATACGATATGTGGTTAAACACATTTTAAGAGTGCTTATCCTGGGGAATCAAATATACAGATAGCATACATTTTTTGGGGGATCAGACATACAAACTTGTCAATACATGCCCATATTTATAGCTGTCATTTCACATGACTAATTAGAATATTAGTCAAGTTTTGCTTCAACTACTGTAAGAAGCATTTTTTTTTAAATTTATAATGGTTTTGATACCATAGTAAAAGAATACCTAGTAAGCAGTTTTAAGTCATGTAACCCAGTCTGTTAAATAACTAACCTTTCTTGTGCCTAACACCAAACTCATCCTCTGGTGCAAACTCAAGTCTGATAGACTAGGTTTGGCATCAAGGACCAGATCTAACAATCTCAATTCATCAGTATTTGCAAAAAGTTAGAAATTGAAATATCATAGTGATGAAAGACTATTAAAAGTGTTAATGTTTTGGTTGTGGGTCGTTTTTTTTAATAAGAGGTATTAAATTCTTAATTTAAATGCATTTTTGTGGATAACAAAGTATACATACTGCTGTTTGAGACGGAAGACGCTTTCTATACAGCTACATGTGCATATGCCTTCCATGAAGGGCTGGACTGATTTGTTCTTCCATGAGGTAAAACAGTCTCCATATTTAAGGTATGCATGCAACAGTGGTTTACATCTTCACAAGCATAGGTTTGTTCCTCAATAAAGTCACAAAATTTACTAAGGTCGTCTAAACTTTATTGCTATGTTCCTCAAAATCTAAACAGCACAGATCTAAGACAAGTTCTGTAACCCTTAACAGCAAAACCAAACACTTGAGCACCCTTAAGACAAAGTCCTCATCGTAAGGAACATTCATCCATCAGTAATTCACATGGTGGCTCTTGGGATCACTTTACACTGAAACGCATCTGTAGCTAGGGGCAAGCTTCAGGGTGTCTCTTCTCTAAATTACAACCCTCAGCTGCCAGAGCTTGGCACCATTTTTTTCATTTAAATGAACATAAAAATTGTCATTTACCAATATTGTCCTAAGTTGTGCCAGGTAGTCCCTCAACAAAATCTACAGCACATTTGGGACACCATTTCAGCTTAACATCAACAGTTTTTGAAGCCCAGAAAAGCCCTGTGCCTAAAAAAAGCAAATATTGGTGACTGGTTTCCTGTTTGAGCAGGCTTAAGCTGCATTCTCTGCAGATGTGAAAAAAAAAAAAAACCAAAACAGAACAAGGAAAACTTGTGAAACAAGATATAAATTGATTAAGAGGCCTCGCATAAAACCAACTGAGTTTTCAAAGCACTTTTCCCCTATAGGAGAATCTGTGTTTCAGAAAACCTTTTAAGAGAAACGAAAGGAGGATACTCAATGCTCCACTAGGAGCTTAGTATCAGCTGGAGTTGAACTACTCCAATACTTTCATTTTTTTCCCCAAGGCAATGGACAGAAATGAAAAGCTCTTATTTGTCAATGAACCAATTTTCACAAAAAAAAAACCCACCCTAAACTCATGCAGATTTTCTATTTCCAAGTACTGCTAGCTAATTTCTACCTGCAAAATGATAGGATTTGCAGTTCCTTTGTTCTCCGATGGAAATACAGGACAAACTATCATTAAAAAACTTAAATTGTATAACTGCTGTTTTCTTCCGATTAGTTCAAAATTCCTCATGGGATTACTGATATCTACCAGACTGATGCTCTTAAAGAATAAGAGATTAAAAACTCTCCAACTTTATGTTTGGTTTCAATTGCTGAACGTTTTTAAAAGTCTGCTTCTGCTATATTACACCTTGGCGAGATTCCACCGTAAGTTAATACCAATTCTATTTAGCAGTCATTAACAAACCACAATCATTAGTGCACATAAAAATCAATTTGTGCCTTTCTTCCACTTACTAGAGCAACTGAGCACACGTGACACAACCAGCACTATGACACCCTTCCTGCCAACTCTAGACAGACCAAAAAAAGCAACAAGGACAGAATTACCACATTACTTCTAAAGATTCATAAAAGGAATTGCAGAACTCCAACATCAATTCCTCAGTGGAAGAAATCTGGCTGGAAGACCACCAGCCTAACAATTCACCAGGGCTTCAACTTGAAAGTGTTTTCAGAATACAGAATCTATGACATAAGTATGCTTTATTTTTCATGAAATTATTATTTCAGGCAATTCTAAAACAGGAATCTTCAGGTCTGCGTATGCTTTTACAGCTCTTATTTTCTGCAGCACAGAACAAGTGTAATTTCTGCCCGCTTTTAAAATCAAATGTTATAACAATATTATGAGTTCTTAGAGAGAAAAGCTGAAGGAATCAAACCCCTAAGATTACACTCAACTTCATTTGATTTTGCCTTCCCTCCCTGGAGTGGGAGGGGGGGCGCAGGGGAGGGAGGAGACACGGGTCAATGACAAAGTGCTGCCTCAGAGAAAATATCCCTGTGGCCCATTTCCTCTTGGTTCTTGCCATAACCTACCAGAAGCTAAAATATTTTTGAAAACCCATTTTGTGGTGTGTATTGACACTGGTATGTAAGAATTGAGAAAACTCTCAGGTCCTTAAAATTCCTCCTTGGAGGGTTGTTTTAGAATCCAAACAGGAGGTCTCATTTATTTTTGAAGTCTTACATCCCTCCTTCCAGTGGCAGTGTACTAATTTAGGTAGGTACCTACCTCATCAGCCCAGCTTCTCTCGGATTTCCCCTCTCACCACTCTTTTCCTCTGGGGTATACCATATACCAACATTCCTCAGCATTTATATCACTAACTGAAGGCTGCCTGGCCTCCTGCACCACTATAAATAAAAATCACAGATCACCTTCTCCCAGTCTATAACTGTAGATGCATGACTGCAGCACTAGAACCTGCAGAGACACACAAGCATCTCGTTTTCACCATTTATAACAGACTGCTTCAACTCTCCTACATTCATTTCTATTTTTAGTTTCACATCAGCACCTGTTCCTGAGTTCACCTCCTTTACAGCTTGACTGCAGTCTCCGTATCTTCAAGTACAAAGTCTACAAAGACTATTAAAGTGGCATGCAAGGCAACATTTCTATGGCCCAATCTCTCCTTTTGACAGCTGATGCTTGATAACTGCAAGCAGGCATAAACCACGAACCGCTGGGTTACTAGAGAAAGTGGAACTTCATATGAATAAAAAGACCCTGCAGTGGGCTTGGCACTATCACATGAAAGCTTGATTAAGAAACACAGCCAGATGAGCACTGCTACTTAATACACTTTAGCTTTGACATGTTTCCCCAAGCTTTGGGTACAATTGGATTATTTTTATTTCTAAAGAGAGTAACACTTGTACTCCCTGCTCAAAGTGTATGGAACCTTTGGATTTAACTTCCCACAGGACAGGACTTTGGGGTTCTTTTTCTTTAGCTAAGATTAACAAACATACATTACTACTTACTCATCTGAGGTGAACAACATTCATAAAACTACACTTGATAACTATAAAATGATGCCATGAGTCATACCCATCCCTCCTCCCCACCCCCCTTTTTACACTACCTCCATCACCACAAAGGGAAGGTAAGCAGCATCCCCAGCAACCTCCAGTCTTCCCTGCAGTTCCAGGGACAGCTTAATCATTGAATGCTCTTGGCTTTTACCTAGGCAATTACTATCAGCTTCCTGCTGTAAATCAGCTATTCTCCAGTTGGTCATCTCTTTTACTGTCCATTTACTGGCTCCCAAGGGTAAGGGGTGAGTTCAGACTGTCCTGCTTATACCTTAAAGAACACAGCAAGAAAAGCCTTCCTTCTTGCATAGATCCAGGAAAAC